CTCGTCGAGGTCGGAATTTCCAAATACGCGTGGTGCGTCGGGCCGCGCGCTCTGACTTCGGCCAAGAAAAATGCGTCAGCTGATCATTGTCATTTCTGCCACTTGCGTGTGGTGAAATGGGGTCATAACTTATAAGACGGCTTTTTCATATCAATTATTTTACATAAAATCATATTTCAAACCATAAATAATGTTCGACAGCCAAATAAAAGAAACAATACCAATACGGGCTTACAGTTTAAGGCTCGACATTGTGTTGTCTACGATTAGACAGCTGATAACTCATTCCCGTACGTCGTATGGTCGTAACACTATAATGACCTTTGCTTATTGTCACAAGTGCGCCGCATTCGCGATTGTTGCCCGACGCCTGTTTGCAGGTGAGCCCACTACAGTTGTTATACATATCTAAAAACCGAAAAACTTTTAGGCGAAAAAGGCACTATTCCAGGCCCATTTTTGATTTTTTTGCGATATTAGGTAAAAACAGAAGCTTCTTATCCTAGGAAAAATAAAATGGGAAATCTTTCAAAGGTGGCACACTACCTTTAATTTATGGGCCGCGCGGGGCCTCGCGATGACGCGGCTGGAGGCAACTGCTCAGCGCGCTAGGATACTTCTGGCGGGGCGGGGCGCTGAACGGTGTGCAATGAATGGGTTATGGTCGGGCCGACAGAGATGAGGTATTGAATTTGAATTGACATCAGCAATCGGGTGGGGAAGGAGAACGTTCCTAATCGAGCTTGGGTTGGGGAAAGCCGAAAATATCGCGATCGGCTCATAGCTCAGACAGGGCCGGGTGCCGTACCATGTGTTGTATACATATTTAGGCGGGCAGACAGGGATGAGTTATTGGATTTAAATTCACCTTACCATCGGTTTCTGGTGGGGTTTGAAAATGGTTTTAGTCAAGCTCGGAGTGGGGCAACCCACTGGCGGATCCAGGGGAAGGCATTTGGGGCAAATGTCTTCCCCCACATTGGCAGCGCCCGAAATCGCTTTTCGAGAATTGTTATTGCCATACAGGATCTAAATGGCGTTGCGTTCGATACGAATCAAACACCAAACACATTTCAACTCTTAATTTATACTGGCGATCATCTCACAAATTATACATAGAATTCATCTGAAGCGATTCTCGATCGCTTGAATCGGCGTCACTTCGTTCGAATTTCTTTCGCTTCCTTCGATCGTTTTCGTTTCGTTTTCGTTAACGTTCGATCGTTTTCGCACTTCAATTTCATAGTTTCGTGTTCAATTGTTTCGAAGTTTGCCTACGCCATTTTCGTTTGTTTCCTCTTTCTTGTTTTTCTTTCTTTCTTTATCTTTTTGAATTTTTGTTGATTTTAAGATGCATCTCACGCATTTTAATGAAACTAAGTAACCTCTTGCAGCCAGATTTTATCTTGTGTTTCGGGGGATCCCTCACTCCAAAATAAGCAATAAATCGATGCTGTTGCCGCAACAACACCCTCCCCTTTGAATTTTTGTTGATTTTAAGATGCATCTCACGCATTTTAATGAAACTAAGTACCCTCTTGCAGCCAGATTTTATCTTGTGTTTCGGGGGATCCCTCACTCCAAAATAAGCAATAAATCGATGCTGTTGCCGCAACAACACCCTCCCCTTGAAACCTCTGTCCCTGAGGTTTCAACCTTGTCATATACTGTCAGATCAGTTTCACAATCTTCGTCACTGGGCGCTGCAGCGTTGTGCCCCGGACTTGCAGTTCCACAGAGCGAACCAATCCATCAGCGCTGTGTTTCACCCTAAGTACTCGACCCAATGGCCATTGACCTCGTGGGACGCTTTCGTCAACCACTACCACAATATCGCCCACACCTAAATTTGGCTTAGCTCTACTTAAATGGTGTGGCCTAGCCTGGAGCAATGGCAAATATTCGGCCCGCCAGCGTTTCCAAAACATATCCGCGTAATAAGCTGCCTGCTTCCATCTCTTACGACTGTTGCTGTCTGTTTTGTCAAAAAGATTGACGGGAACGAGGTCGTACCCTGCACCAGCGAGTAGCAGGAGGTTTGGAGAAAGTGGCTCAGTGTCAAGGTGATCAGTGGAAACTGGTGTCAGTGGTCTGCTGTTTATAATTGCCTCAACTTTGCACATGAAAGTCACCAAAGTCTCGTTTTTCATTGATGTGCTGGTTGTCATGCCTTCTAAAGGTCTTCCCAAAGACGAATGATATCTTCGCTTGCAAAACAAACACGTGCTCAAACCCCTTCGTACCGTGGCATTTCTTTCCAAGAACCACATTACATCTTGCACATCAGCCAAAACGTGTTGCCGTCCAGCGTGTCCCAGCCTTTTGTGCACATCTTGCATGAGCATCTCTGTGTTCTTCTCATGGGACAACATTATGATGCGATGTTTCGCGTTATAAGCAAGGTCAGCATTCTGTAATCGTTCTCCAACGCAAGATACAATTGTACAAAATAAAATCACTAAAATCACAAAATAAAGAATGTTCGGTAATTTGACATGATCGTCCGTTAAGTGCAGAGGGACGTTGTACTGACCACCTTTGTACGCAACAGAACTTTCCACCTTCCTCATCCACAAACGATCTGCGGCGGACAACTCTCTTTTCGTGCAATGCAAATGTTCCGCGTATTTATGGTTGTTTGATGACTTGCTCATTTCTTCCAGAGATTCACCTTCAGTGACAGTTGTCTTGCAAACCGTTGTAACGTCAGGTGGGCCTGCCGTCTGATTCAAACCACATATTACCCATCCGAATCTGGTCAGCGTCGCATACGGGCTACCATTGACACTTGGGATAACCCTTAATGGCTCCATTGCCAAAAACGCATTAGCATCCAACAGCAAACCAACTTCTGAAATTTCTGGTTGGGGTAAAACGATATCCTGCAAATGATCCCACTCCTCCAAATCTTCTGCTTTGGGAAACTGGCCTGCTTCAACTGGTAAGTTTGGTAGTGTATATAGTACTGGTAATGACAGATGATTTTCGCCCTCCAAATCCGTAATAGACAGGCCAGCCACTACTTGAGTCGGTACGGAAACGGCCCGATCCACTGTCGTCAGTGTCAGCTGGCGACCGGGCAAATGTCCTAAATTAAGCTTGTGCATAAGTGACGTGGATATGAATGAGTGCGTCGACCCGCTATCGAGAAAGGCGAACGTTGTGCAGTGGCCTGATGCACTCTTAGCCTTTACAGCCACAATGGGTAAAATGGCTCCACACTTCTGACTTCCCGTTGAAATGCGACACGAAGTGACCTTAGCCCCATCAGCTTCGCCTTGTGTTCCCGGCTGTTCTTGAGGCGGCACGCCTCGCAGATTCCCTGGACCATCGTGTTCGTGTAAAGCAGTTGGATGACTTCGATTGCACGTGCGACATCTTGCCGGTCTCCGGCACAAATTTCGCCTGTGACCTCTGTGAAGACACCCAAAGCAAAGCGAGTTTCTCATCACAAATGACTTCTTTTCTTCTGTAGACATTTCCTTCAGCTTAGCACACTCGGGGAGGTAATGCGAGTTGTCCCCGCAAAACAAACATGTCGAATAATCATGTGCTTGTGTCGCTGACACTAGTGACTCTTGATTTTGTACCATAGAAAATGATCCATTAATTTGCTTCTTACCGTTTCCTCGACTGCCATCGTACATGTGCTGCCCAAAAGATGCGTTTGTAGCGACTCTCGCCTCTTTCATGACAAATTCGACTAGGTCTTCAAAAACTGCGGAGCGCCCATGAATTTCTTCGAGATCATCAACACGCCTGCCCCATCTATTTAGAAGTGAGCTGGGGAGTTTTTCTGTAATATTCCGTAACGTTCGCGGATCACTAATTAAATGGCATGCATTTCCCCATGCATTTTTACAGCTCATCAGAAGAAGCGCAAATTTGTCCAAATCTTCACCATTTTCAAATTCCATCCGTTCTTCGTCATTAATTTTATCCATGAACGCCGCTGCAATAGTGCTCGGTTGACCATAACGTTTGCGTAGAATTTGCATTGCCTGCTCATAGCCATCCTCAATATACATACAACTGGCAACGATAGTGTGCGGTTTGCTTCCACTAACCAAATTTTGTTCTAGATAATGCAACTTTTCACTGTCGTCTTCTAGCTTAGACGCAATCTTCATCTCAAAACTGCGAATAAATTGTGCAAACTGAGTAATGTCACCGCCAAATTTCTTAATTTCTATAGGAGGAAGACGCATCAATGCTGCCGTTCTTTCTCTTTCTGCCTTCAGCTCAGAATGCACATCATCTCGAGAACCTTTTAGATGCCGTTCGTTCAGCGGTAAATGGAGGCTGGGCTGTGAGCCGAGGGCCTTATCTGTCTGCGTTATGTGTGACTGTTGAATTGGGCACTGTGTATGTGTATGTGGTTGGCTCGCTGGTGCTGGGCTTACGCCGCCATTTTGACTCGTATAAGCCTGAAATGCCTGCTCCCTTGCAGCTAACTCATTTATGGTTGACTGAAGTTCTAATAATTCCTGCCCGTGACAAAGTTCGGCTATTTTACTCTCGATATATTGTTTATCTCTCAAAGATCGCATTTTTTCAACAAGTGCAGCCCTATCAGCTGCTTCTTCTGCGCGCCTAAGTTCAGAATTGGCTGAATTACAACTAGAGGACCGATTTGACACAGTAGATCTAATCTGGGATGCACTATCATCTGGCTGAATTGCAACATGCTCTGATTGAGACGCAGAAGTGCGTAGGTATCTCTAAGGCGTCGCATAATCGTTTTAGAAGTGTTTCCTTATTGCCTTTACAACTCATACCCCGAGACCTTAAGATTGTTTTAAGTTCTGCAACCTTCAGTCCCTCCATAATACCTACTACCGAAATTTTCACAATTAATTTAGGAAGACTTTATAACTAACACCTCTGGACAACCCACGGGACGAAGCACAGGGTGAAATACAGTCTGATCGGATATGGACGCCTGTAGCCGTAATGTCAATTCACAATGGTTTCTTCTTGTGCTCGTTTGAAGACCTTACCTCCTGTGCAGACCATAGGTAGCCAGACAAATCATTGCATTCTTGATACATGTGAACTTAATATACTTAGTAAAATCAACAAGATGCCGCTTGTGGCTCGTTAAAACAAAATGTAGCAAATCAAGCAATCGTGTTTGATCACAATATCATTCTCTTCTGAATCTTGGGAGTTTGTCACTTGACAATCTTGCTGTGAATATCTTTAGTTCACGTAAATGGGCACTTCGAAACTGTTATTGCCATACAGGATCTAAATGGCGTTGCGTTCGATACGAATCAAACACCAAACACATTTCAACTCTTAATTTATACTGGCGATCATCTCACAAATTATACATAGAATTCATCTGAAGCGATTCTCGATCGCTTGAATCGGCGTCACTTCGTTCGAATTTCTTTCGCTTCCTTCGATCGTTTTCGTTTCGTTTTCGTTAACGTTCGATCGTTTCCGCACTTCAATTTCATAGTTTCGTGTTCAATTGTTTCGAAGTTTGCCTACGCCATTTTCGTTTGTTTCCTCTTTCTTGTTTTTCTTTCTTTCTTTATCTTTTTGAATTTTTGTTGATTTTAAGATGCATCTCACGCATTTTAATGAAACTAAGTAACCTCTTGCAGCCAGATTTTATCTTGTGTTTCGGGGGATCCCTCACTCCAAAATAAGCAATAAATCGATGCTGTTGCCGCAACAACAAGAATCAAAGAAAACCTCACAACTTTTCTGAGGAAATGTTGGTTAATCACACTGCACAGCAGTGCGCAAGGAATCGAAATCAGAGTTTTTTTTTTTTAAATTAATTCCGAGAAACCTTTTTTGGGGTAAGCCCCCGCAGTGTCCAAGACCGCTTCCTGGATCCGCCAGTTGTGAATAAGTCACGGTCGATACCGAGCTTCGGCGGGACCAGGCGCTGTATACGTTGTTCTTTCAATGAAGAGGTGGACAGACACCTAGCCCCACATCCTACTGCTATGCCCGTGCTTCTGTGGGTGAAGCACTAAAGCATCACGGAATCCCACAGGACCTGCGAGTCGACGAGGTGGGCCGCTTTGGCCGCCGGGTACTGCAGCTCCCTGGAGTTGCCTGGGACCGATGGCAAAACAACAGCTCCGGCGGTGCCCCTATGGGCCGTAGTAATTAGCGAATTCCTGTAATGTAGAGTTGAGTTGAAATGTGTTTGGTGTTTGATTCGTATCGAACGCAACGCCATTTAGATCCTGTATGGCAATAACAGTTTCGAAGTGCCCATTTACGTGAACTAAAGATATTCACAGCAAGATTGTCAAGTGACAAACTCCCAAGATTCAGAAGAGAATGATATTGTGATCAAACACGATTGCTTGATTTGCTACATTTTGTTTTAACGAGCCACAAGCGGCATCTTGTTGATTTTACTAAGTATATTAAGTTCACATGTATCAAGAATGCAATGATTTGTCTGGCTACCTATGGTCTGCACAGGAGGTAAGGTCTTCAAACGAGCACAAGAAGAAACCATTGTGAATTGACATTACGGCTACAGGCGTCCATATCCGATCAGACTGTATTTCACCCTGTGCTTCGTCCCGTGGGTTGTCCAGAGGTGTTAGTAGCGACACAAGCACATGATTATTCGACATGTTTGTTTTGCGGGGACAACTCGCATTACCTCCCCGAGTGTGCTAAGCTGAAGGAAATGTCTACAGAAGAAAAGAAGTCATTTGTGATGAGAAACTCGCTTTGCTTTGGGTGTCTTCACAGAGGTCACAGGCGAAATTTGTGCCGGAGACCGGCAAGATGTCGCACGTGCAATCGAAGTCATCCAACTGCTTTACACGAACACGATGGTCCAGGGAATCTGCGAGGCGTGCCGCCTCAAGAACAGCCGGGAACACAAGGCGAAGCTGATGGGGCTAAGGTCACTTCGTGTCGCATTTCAACGGGAAGTCAGAAGTGTGGAGCCATTTTACCCATTGTGGCTGTAAAGGCTAAGAGTGCATCAGGCCACTGCACAACGTTCGCCTTTCTCGATAGCGGGTCGACGCACTCATTCATATCCACGTCACTTATGCACAAGCTTAATTTAGGACATTTGCCCGGTCGCCAGCTGACACTGACGACAGTGGATCGGGCCGTTTCCGTACCGACTCAAGTAGTGGCTGGCCTGTCTATTACGGATTTGGAGGGCGAAAATCATCTGTCATTACCAGTACTATATACACTACCAAACTTACCAGTTGAAGCAGGCCAGTTTCCCAAAGCAGAAGATTTGGAGGAGTGGGATCATTTGCAGGATATCGTTTTACCCCAACCAGAAATTTCAGAAGTTGGTTTGCTGTTGGATGCTAATGCGTTTTTGGCAATGGAGCCATTAAGGGTTATCCCAAGTGTCAATGGTAGCCCGTATGCGACGCTGACCAGATTCGGATGGGTAATATGTGGTTTGAAGGTGAAGTAGAATCAGGACCACTATGGGACATGTTTCATGGAGTAGAAGCCAGCATTCAAGATTCCGTCAGCATGGCAAACAAGTATATCCGCAAGAAACTGTCAGGAAACCTGTATTGTGAGGAAACAAGTGCGAGCAGTGAAGCGAGTGAACAGCCGAGCACGCAAAAAGAAAATGAAGCAAAGCTTCTCTTCCCAGATGGCCTCTACTACATCTAATAGCTCACTCGCCTGCTCTCCTAGCTCACCTGTTATCTTTTGGAGCTCTGAGAGTGAGGATTCTTGGTCGCAAATCAGCGAACTTAACTTGGATTCATTCATTCGAATCTCCTTCAGTATTCTTTGCTTCTTCTTCATTTTACTTTCCACAATCTGGCTCTTCATGATTTCTTCAACGGCTACGCCAGCGCTTGAATTGCCGGCTTTGCGCGATTTTCCCATATCCGGAGTCACATGCACCAGACATAACTCGCCTCGCGCTGCGGCTCACTGGTTTCAGACGATCGGCCGGTCCAGTGACTCAGTGCAGGTCACTGGCACGGGTCGACAAGGCCGGCTTCAACAACCAGCTGGTGGACACCGACTGGGCGCCGGTGTATACTGCAGCCGGTCCGGACATGAAGTGGACAGCATTCCTGCAAATCTTCACACCACTGCTCGACTCAGTCGCGCCTTCAAGACGACTCCTGCGGCGACCGACTCGAGCGCCACCTACTTCTGAGCACACGCGCCATCTGCTGGCGATCCGTCGAGACGCTCTCTCAGGCGACCGCCAGGACTACAAGGAGATAAACCGGTCGGCGCGCGCTGCCATCCGTGCAGACTGCCGGCGTCATCTCCAGGAGCAGCTGACCAGGGCCGGCCCAGGCAGCTTATGGAGAGTTCTCCGACCGATCATCGGCTCTAACAAGAAGCACTCGACGCTCGAGGGCATCACTGCTGACGCTCTCAATGACTTCTACGTGTCCGTGGCCCCACGACTGGCCGCCACCGTTCTCGCACCGTCACGTCCCGTCCACGTCCGCCTACCGCGGGTCTGTACTGGAGGACTCCGAGTCCAGCCGGTGACCATGGAGGCACTGTGGGGGATAATCCAGGGGATGAAGCCGTCCAGCTTCGAGGGCCCCGACGGACTCAGCGTGAAGACGATTCAGACCTTCTTTGACGGCTTTGGACACATTGTGCTGGACCTGGTTAACGCGAGCCTCGAGACGGGCACGGTTCCTGCATCGTGGAAACACGCTACCATAACACCGATCCCCAAGGGGAAGCTAATCTCATCCGACCCATCTAGCACGCGGCCTATCTCCATGCTGCCGGCGATCACCAAAATCACCGAGAGGGCCGTCCAGCTCCAGCTCGCCGAGTACATGGAGAGGCACCATCTGCTCAGCGAGACGCAGCACGGCTATCGGAAGAGTCACTCCTGCGAGATGGCACTTCACGTAGTGACCGACGACATCCTGCGAGCGATGGACAGCGGTGAAATCGCCCTCTGGGCGATGGTCGACCTCTCAAAGTGCTTTGACATGGTGCCGCATGACAGGCTGATCGACAAACTACTTCTATATGGCGTTGACCCTTTTTGGTTCACGGACTATTTAAACGGTCACACACAGCACGTGCAGACGGTGAATCATGAAGGACACGAGATCAAATCAGCCGTGAAACAGAATGCAGTCGGTGTGTACCAGGGAGGTTCGTTAAGTTGTATACTGTGGTGTGTGTTTTCCAACGACCTCTGTCTGCATGTACCGCCACCTGTAAAGGTAGTGCAGTTCGCAGACGACACCCAGATCTGGATCACGGGCAAGAAACAAGACTTGCCTCAGCTGGTGACACAACTCGAGACCGCTCTCCAGAGTATGTTCGACTGGTTTTGTAGCAACAACATGAAAGTGAATGAGGCAAAAACTGAGCTCATGTTATTCGGAACAAGGCAAATGCTGAGAGATATCGCGGAGGTGACCGTTAAATTTAATGGTGCCACCATTAGATCTATGAACCAGGCCCGCAACCTAGGAGTGATATTTGACCAACACCTCGACTTTCGTCTGCATGTAGACCAGCTTGTACCGAAGTGCACCGGCATGTTACTCGCTTTGAACCATGCAAAACACGTGATTCCAATGGCCACTGTAAAATATCTCATTACCGCGCTAGTTTTTCCCGTGATGCGATACTGCATGTCTGTATACGGCATTTGTAACAAAACGCAGGTCCACCGAATTCAAAAGTTGATTAACTTCGCTGCGCGTGTTGTGTCTGGACGTCGGAAGACCGACCATATTTCTGACGTGGTTCGATCGCTGGGTTGGTTCAAAGCAGACGAGCTCATTTCCTATCATCGAGTTCTTGTCATTCACCGACTCATGTCATGCCTCGTTCCGCCGCCATTAGCGCAGACTATCGGTGCTCCTGCTCGCCGCCAGCACGATCACGACACACGGTCTGCTGACCTCCTGACTGTGCCACGTATTCGTACCGAGACTGGTCGCAAGCGCTTGTGTTTCAGCGGTGTGAAATTGTATAATGAGGTACCGAAGCCTGCAGGAACCTCATTCAAGACTGCTGCAAAGCGCCACCGGCGTGCCGTCGAAACGTGACGAGAGCTGGAGCCATGGGGTTTGTTGGCGAGTGCTGTGATTACCTGTGCGCCCTATATGGATAATGGGTATACTGTCACCTGCCTTACGTTTTTGTTTGTGTATCTGTGCTTTGGATGGATGCTACTGTATGTTTACCTTTTATCACTGTTTTATTTTTACTACGTACGATGGCGAAAAGCCACCAGTTTGCGTGGATCTATCGTGAATACACATTGAATTGAATTGAATTGAAATATAGAAAAGGGCATGTGCGACACATGTTTTATGGGCCATTTTATTTATAGAATTCAAAAGGCACACTCCATAAGCATGATATGGACCACATTTGGATGAATTTCAGGTCGAGGTCAGGTCAAGGTCAGGTCAAGAAAGGTCAAATTTTGAAGTTGGTTGTTAAGGCCTAAAAATATGTCTATCTGATGCAGTCTTTCACGGCGAATCGAATGGTGCTATTTTTGTTTTCGTACGATGTCTAGAACTTCCAAAAAATTCATTTGACAAAAAATTTTGTGTGTCGTCACGTCAATTTTTTTTTAATAACTCCCACATTTTTTAACCGATTTTTCTAGAAATTAGTATGTTGGTGCACATTAGTGGTGTCAATCGGAACTTGAATCTTCGGAATTCCGATTTTGTCCAATGTCCAATTCGGAAT